AAAACGTCATTCTTGTACATGTAGTAAAGGATAATATTATACATTAATTACTATTAGGGAGACGGGATTAAATATACTTTAATGCTTAAAAAATAATTCAGGACGTTTTCCTGTGATTGTTGCCTTCTCTGGAAAGAAAAGTCACATTTAGTATGCCAATAAATTCATGAACACATAAAGTTACATTTCAGTTTTCTTTTTTAATGAATTTATTTGCAACATAGTACAACGTAGTGCAACTTGTCCACAGGTAAATATCGTATCGTTTTGTTTCTTATCTGCTATACTCGAGATGAATATATATATATATCAAGCTCCTGATAACAACAACGCAGCTTGTGCTGTGGCTCTACATATCTCAAAGGCGTTTGACAGGGTTTGGTATTCTGGTGTTCTAGGTAAGTTTAAGGGATACGGTATTACTGGACAATTATTTGAGTTAATCCAATAATTCCTATCTAATCGTGAAATGAAAGTCGTTCTGAACGAGCTCGCTTCCAGATCCTGTCACGCGAACGTAGGTGTCCCCTAAGGTTCTATCCTGGGTCCTACACTGTTTCTGATCTTCTTCAATGATCTTCTTGATGTCATCAGTTCCCAAGTAGGCATTTATGCAGATCACACTACCACTATCTCAGTAGTAAATCCGTCAGAGCTGACAATGTTAAGCTGGCCGCTGCTTTTGAAAAGGACGTCCAATCAGTGGTTAACTGGGACCGGAAATAGTTTGTAAATTTTAATGCATCTAAAAATAAACTGCTTTCATTTAACCTCCGCTCAGAAAATTGCCTGCCTGTTTTCGACCGACTTGAAGAACAACAACTACATTGAAACAATAGCTGCATCTACTGCAAGGAAAGTTGATTCACAGTGTCGTGCCAAAAGGTTTTTCGCGTCTTGGTCGATCTTACACATCCACAAATCTAACATTCGTTTTTGAATTGAGTACTGCTGCCATAACTGATCTGGTACCCTTGCTGTTCATCTCTAGATTCTTAACAAAATCCAAAGAAAGATCTGCATTGTAATCAATCCTGAGTTGGCATCTCGATTCCAGCCAGTTTCTCACAGACGTAATGTGGCTTCCCCATGTCTTTTCTACAAATATTTTCTTGGCAACTGCTCTTACGAGCTTTTTTCCCTGGTGCCCTGACTAAATGAATTTAAGCGTGCTACTAGGTTGGCATCTAGGTCCCACTCTTTTACTTTTAAATAATTAAATGTAACCGCCACTTCTACTCTAACACTTTATTTTCTCGTTCTTCCCGACAGTGGAACTCCCTTCCGTTTACTTGCTTCCCTGATGACTAGAATCTTCAGGGTCTTAAATGTAACGTCAATTGCCATCTTCTGTTGTCTTTAACCCCATTCATCTTTTATCCTTTCTTCAATCCCTTTATGCACAATCTTTTCTCTCACTTTCAATCTCTTTAGTCTCCTGCATACTAGTGGCAATACCGCCTTGCATGGGGTGAAATGAATAAAAAATGCTTGGTGTTTCTTTTGGTTTTCTTCTGTTTGCATTTATTATCGAAAGTTGGGGTCTGCCTTGAATAGAAAGAAAATAAAGCAACAAAAGACAGAAAGAAAGAAAGTAAGGAAAATAAGGCAACAAAAGAAAGAAAAAAGAAAATAAATGAAATGATGAAAAAAGAAAAGAAGAAGCGAAATAATAAAAGAGAAAAAGAAAGCAAAAACGAACCGAGGTAACAAAAAGAAAAACAAAACTGAATTGAAAAAGGAAAAAAGCAAAATAAGACGAAAATGGAAAAAAAGGAAAGAAAATAATGAAGAAAGTAACAAAAAGGAAATAAAGACCATGAAGAAAGGACAGAAAAAAAGAAAATAATGAAAAAGAAGAAGAAAGAAAGAAAGAAAGAAAGAAAGAAAGAGAAAGAAACAAACAAAAAACAAGCGATAGGCAAAAAGAACAAAGACGGAGAAGAAACAAAGAATGTATAAAGTAATCGAAAGAAAAAAGCGTCTCGCTTTGAAAATAACTTACCCTCTTGTCTGGCGCCATTCATATCAGCGATTCGAAGGAAGGTTTATCCTCCCATTATAAATAATAATTTATACACTTCTATCAGATAGCACCTGATGTGTTTATGATCGTGAAAAGCACATGTGAGGTTAAGAGGTGCCTTTTTTTAAAAGAGGTATTAACTTTTGGGCGGTTTCCTAACCGGTGTTAATATCAGTTAACCTGAAATTCTCTTAATTTAAGAAAATCCAAAATGGCTGAAACAGTAACAAAAAGAAAATATTGACACATTAAAGGATTTAAATTCTGTGGAAGTTTTCACCAACAAGTTTTGATAAAGTTTTTTAATGTCTCATAACGACGGCCTTCAAAATTTTTCACGAACTGTTAATTCTGCCTTCAATGACATATTATCTAGATCGGTTCAACTTTGGCACAGGAATATATTATTGTAGTACTAAGGATTGAATTAATAAAGAAAAATGGCTTGTTAGACTAATGCGAAGGTCATCCTTTTTTGTGGCCGGTGCTGTTGTATACCTTGATAGTCGACTGTTAAAACTTTAGGTCAGGAAGTGAAATCTGTAGAGGCTGATTTGGCATAAACTCAAGCTATGTTTACCGTTAGACTCAAGAAAAAACCCAACATATGATTACCGAAAGACTCAAGTACAAACCTAAGTTATGTTTACCGCTAGACTCAAGTAAACCCAACATATGATTACCTAAAGACCGAAGTACAAACCCAAGGTATGTTTGCTGATATACCCAAGAAAAAAACGCAACATATAATTACCTAAAGATTCGAGTACAAACCCAAGCTATGTTTGTTAATAGAGTCAAGAAAAAAACAACATATGATTACCCAGACTCAATTAGAAACCCAAGTTATGTTTGCTGATATACCCAAGAAAAAACCCAACATATGATTCGGGTACAAACCCAAGCTATGTTTGCTGATAGACTCAAGTAACAACCTAAGCTTTGTTTACCTATAGACTCAAGTATAAACCCATTTATGTTTACTATAAACTCAAGCCTAAGCCAACATATGTTTACCTATAAACAAGTATGCCTATAGTCAGTTATGTGCCATGCGTGATACACGCTAAGACGATCATGTATTTTTCGATACCTGACAGACGAGACAGATTTTTCCCGCAGTAAGTTGCCATTTCTTTCTGCGGTAGACTAGTTGCCATCCAAGGCTATAGAACCCGGTCTGTCCTACTATTTACCCATAGCTTGGAGGGAGGAGAAGAAGAAGATTCGTACCTGTCGCAAGGGTTTTAGCACGTAGGTGAATATAATGGGCTCGACTGGAATTCGAACTCGGCTCTCCGATTCCTCAATCCGAGCCGCTATCCATTACTCCCACCGTGACTCAAGTAAAAGCCAACCTATGTTTAACAGTAGATAGGGTTGTCCGGTTCACACTCGTCCCGGTCTTCTGAACAGGAGTAGATATTTATCCCTTGATTCTTGCTTAGGATTAAGTTTCCGGTTCTTTCAAATCTGTTCTTCTAACGTCTTCACCTGACATTTGAAATTCTCTTCATTAATTATTTTATTATTTATTATTTTCTTTTTCCCGATATGCCTAGATAGGTTTACCCAGCATTCGCGTCACGACACTCCGCGTCTTTTGAACAGGAATAGAAAGTAATCACTTGTTCCCACAAAGGCTTGCGGCCGGGGAAAGAAAACAAGAAGGACACATGATGCTGCACCGCCATCAGCAGCTGTGGCGTAACTCTTTGGGCGCAGATCAAAGGTTTTCGAAATCGACTGATGTCACACACAGTCACCCTGTACAAGTCCCGAGGGTTACTCGAGGTAGAGCTTCTGTGGATTGTAGTGACCGCGGAAGCAACTTATTGGGAGTCGGTTCTTCAAGGTAGTGGTTAGTGAGAAGAAGTGTTGTATCTTCTCTCTCACGTCTTCTACCGGTCGGGGTCGTGAAATGTTTTGAGGCCAGAGATGAAAGACCAACAGGGAAAGTTTTAAGTTAGTTATTTTATTAATATCGACATGTACTAACTATTCAGTGGGGGTCGTTTCCCCTCACTGGAGATTCACACATGAGAGTGAACACGTCTACATTTCTTGACGTGTAAGAACCAAATCCCTGAAAAAACGTTCTCTATCTATCTTTCCCACGCAAGCTCAGCCAATCAAAATCGACTTTCTTTTTATGTCTTCCATCTGACCTCGAAGGTCAACCTCCGGAAGTCGAAGCCAAGATATATTTCCACTAAAAATAATAGTCTGGTAAACTATTATTCAACAGAAACTGCTTGAGTAGAGCTTATATCTCACCAGGAGAATACGAAGGGAATAAATGTAACTAATGCAGAAAACTTTGAAATAATTGGATTGAATATTAATGATAAATTAACAATTTGAAAGAAGAAATGAAATATAGCAACCAACAATTCTTAGAAAGGATTGATAGATCCAGTTGGCTGAACTAAAACTGAAATAGAATGGTGTGAAATATTGTCATCCTATTACGTGTGCAATATGCACATTTATGTAGAAATATAGAAATATTAGTCAAAGTGTAATTAGAATAAATTAAAATTAAATTATCCATGTTACCGATTAAATTAACGCATAAGTAAAGAAAAATATAGAAAAACTCTCTTACTGCTATCTGAAAGTATGTCGCCAGAGATAGCACTTTTGAGCCGATATCTCTCGAGCTGTGAAAGATAAGATTGTCTGTCTAGATTGTCTGCTGGCTCAGCTTTATTTTCTTGCTGCTGCGTGCTTATCATGCGACATTGTGTTTTAAACCTTAGACTTGTGCATAAATTATATGTAAGCACAGATAATTGTTTTCGTATCCCAAGCCCAGGAAGTTTTTATGTTCTCTGATGGAAACCATAATAAAAAAAATCTGGTTCATAACTTCTGCGATTCTTTATATGAAGGTACAAGGTACATAAAATTCAGTGACGACCCTAGGAGAAACTGGAAAAAGAAAAAAATCCTGTTTATTAAAATCCAAGAACTATTGAGTTATGTATTTGAAAGAAAGAAAGAAAGAAAGAAACATCCTGGAACAATTTTTAAATGAGAAAGAAAGAAAGAAAGAAAGAAAGAAAGAAAGAAAGAAAGAAAGAAAGGGGAAATAAATTGAAAGAAAGAAAGCGAAAAGAGACTAGAAAGGAAGAAATTAGAAAAGAGTGAAGCATACGGGAAAAAAGACTAGAAAGAAAGAGAGAAAGAAAGAAAGACAGAAAGAAAGATCCTGCAACAATTTTGGAACAAGAAAGAAAGAAAGAAAGAAAGAAAGAAAGAAAGAAAGAAAGAAAGAAAGAAAGATCCTGGAACAATTTTGGAACGAGAAAGAAAGAAAGAAAGAAAGAAAGAAAGAAAGAAAGGGGAAATAAAATGAAAAGAAAGAAAGCAAAAAGAGACTATACCTTTTCAACTTCAAAATGGATTAATCAACTTCAAATTGAGAAATTGAAATGAAAAAACTGAAAAGAGACTAGAAAGGAAGAAATGAGAAAAAAAAGGAAAAGCATACGGAAAAACGACTAGAAAGAAAGAAAGAAAGAAAGAAAGAAAGAAAGAAAGAAAGAAAGATCCTGGAACAATTTTGGAACGAGAAAGTAAGAAAGAAAGAAAGAAAGAAAGAAAGAAAGAAAGAAAGAAAGAAAGAAAGATCCTGGAACAATTTTGGAACGAGAAAGAAAGAAAGAAAGAAAGAAAGAAAGAAAGAAAGACTGAACCTGGAACAATTTTGGAACGAGAATGAAAGAAAGAAAGAAAGAAACAAACAAACAAACAAACAAACAAACATCCTGGAATAATTTTGGAACGAGAAAGAAAGAAAGAAAGAAAGAAAGAAAGAAAGAAAGGGGAAATAAATTGAAAGGAAAGAAAGAAAGCGAAAAGAGACTAGAAAGGAAGAAATTAGAAAAGAGGGAAGCATACAGGAAAAAGACTAGAAAGAAAGAAAGAAAGAAAGAAAGAAAGAAAGAAAGAATTAAAAGAAAAGATCCTGGGAACAATTTTGGAACAAGAAAAAAAGAAAGAAAAAGAAAAAGAAAAAAAAAAGAAAGAAAGAAAGAAAGAATGGAAGAAAAAAGGGAAATAAATTGAAAGGATGAAAGCGAATGATACTAGAAAGAAAGAAATTAGAAAAAAGAGGGAAGCATACTGAAAAAAAGACTGGAAACAAAAAGAAAGAAAAGAAAAAGAAAGAAAGAAACAAAAGAAAGATCCTGGAACAATTTTAGAACGAGAAAGAAACAAAGAAACAAAGAAACAAAGAAAGAAAGAAAGAAATGAAGAAAAGATCCTGGAACAATTTTAAACAAGAAAGACAGAAAGAAAAGAAAGAAAGAAAGAAAAAGAATAAAGAAAGAAAGAAGATCCTGGAACAATTTTGAAACAAGAAAGAAAGAAAGAAAAGAAAAGAAAGAAAGAAAGGGAAAGAAATTGAAAGGAAAGAAAGAATGATACTAGAAAGAAAGAAATTAGAAAAAAAGGAAGTTAATACTGAAAAAAGACTGGAAACAAAGAAAGAAAAAAAAAAAAGAAAAAACAAACAAAGATAGATCCTGGAACAATTTTGGAACGAGAAAGAAACAAAAACAAAAAAACAAAGAAAGATGAAAGAAATGAAGAAAGATCCTGGAACAATTTTGGAACAAGAAAGACAGAAAAGAAAGAAAGAAAGAAAGAAAGAAAGAAAGAAAGAATAAAAAGAAAGAAAAGAAAGATCCTGGAACAATTTTGGAACAAGAAAAAGAAAAGAAAAGAAAGAAAGAAAGAAAGAAAGAAAAAAAAGAAAAAAATAAAAGAAAGAAAGAAAGATCCTGGAACAATTTTGGAACAAGAAAGAAAGAAAGAAAGAAAGAAAGAAAGAAGGAAAGAAAAAGAAAGAAAGAAAGAAAGAAAGAAAGAAAGAAAGGGGAAATAAATTGAAAGGATAGAAAGCGAATGATACTAGAAAGAAAGAAATTAGAAAAGAGGGAAGCATACTGAAAAAAGACTGGAAACAAAGAAAGAAAGAAAAAAGAAAGAAAGAAACAAAGAAAGATCCTGGAACAATTTTGGAACGAGAAAGAAACAAAGAAACAAAGAAAGATAGAAAGAAATGAAGAAAGATCCTGGAACAATTTTGGAACAAGAAAGAAAGAAAGAAAGAAAGAAAGAAAGAAAGAAAGAAAGAAAGAAAGAAAGAAAGAAAGATCCTGGAACAATTTTGGAACAAGAAAGAAAGAAAGAAAGAAAGAAAGAAAGAAAGAAAGGGGAAATAAATTGAAAGGATAGAAAGCGAATGATACTAGAAAGAAAGAAATTAGAAAAGAGGGAAGCATACTGAAAAAGAAAGAAACAAAGAAAGAAAGAAAAAAAAACAAACAAACAAAGATAGAACCAAAACAATTTTGGAAAAAAAAGAAACAAAGAAACAAAGAAAACAAAAGAAAGATAGAAAAGAAATGAAGAAAAGATCCTGGAACAATTTTGGAAACAAAGAAAGAAAGAAAGAAAGAAAGAAAGAAAGAATAAAAGAAAGAAAGAAAGATCCTGGAACAATTTTGGAACAAGAAAGAAAGAAAGAAAGAAAGAAAGAAAGAAAGAAAGAAAGAAAGAAAGAAAAGAAAGGGGAAATAAATTGAAAGGATAGAAAGCGAATGATACTAGAAAGAAAGAAATTAGAAAAGAGGGAAGCATACTGAAAAAAGACTGGAAACAAAGAAAGAAAGAAAAAAGAAAGAAAGAAACAAAAGAAAGATCCTGGAACAATTTTGGAACGAGAAAGAAACAAAGAAACAGAGAAACAAAGAAAGATAGAAAGAAATGAAGAAAGATCCTGGAACAATTTTGGAACAAGAAAGAAAGAAAGAAAGAAAGAAAGAAAGAAAGAAAGAATAAAAGAAAGAAAGAAAGATCCTGGAACAATTTTGGAACAAGAAAGAAAGAAAGAAAGAAAGAAAGAAAGAAAGGGGAAATAAATTGAAAGGATAGAAAGCGAATGATAAAAGAAAGAAAGAAATTAGAAAAGAGAAAAGCATAAAAAAAAAAAGAAACAAAAAGAAAGAAAAAAAAAAAAGAAAAGAAAGAAACAAAGAAAGATCCTGGAACAATTTTGGAACAAAGAAAAAAACAAAGAAACAAAGAAAGAAAGAAAGGAAAGAAATGAAGAAAGATCCTGGAAGAATTTTGGAACAAGAAAAGAAAGAAAGAAAGAAAGAAAGAAAGAAAGAAAGAATAAAAGAAAGAAAAGAAAGATCCTGGAACAATTTTGGAACAAGAAGAAAGAAAGAAAAGAAAGAAAGAAAGAAAGAAAAGAAAGAAAAGAAAAAGGAAATAAATCGAAAGGATAGAAAGCGAATGATACTAAAAGAAAGAAATTTTAGAAAAGAGGAAGAAATACTGAAAAAAGACTGGAAACAAAGAAAAAAGAAAAAAAAAAGAAAGAAAAAAAAGAAAAGACCTGGAACAATTTTGGAAAGAGAAAAAAACAAAGAAAAAAGAAAAAAAGAAAGATAGAAAGAAATGAAGAAAGATCCTGGAGAAAGAATGAAACAAAAAGAAAGAAAGAAAGAAAAGAAAGAAAGAAAGAAGAATAATAAAAGAAAGAAAGAAAGATCCTGGAACAATTTTGGAACAAGAAAGAAAGAAAAAAGAAAGAAAAGAAAAAAAAAAGAAAGAAAGAAAGAAAGAAACTTAAAGAAAAGAAAGGAAAGAAAGGAATGATACAAGAAAGAAAGAAAATGAAAAAGAAGGGAAGCAAAAGAAAAAAGAAAGAAACAAAGAAAGAAAAAAGAAATTAAAAAACAAAAGAAAGAAAATGAAAAAACAATTTAAAGAAAGAAGAAAGAAAACAAAAAAGAAAGAGAAGAGAAATGAAAAAAAGATCCTGGAACAATTTTGGAACAAGAAAGAAAGAAAGAAAAGAAAGAAAGAAAGAAAGAAAGAAAAAGAAAGAAAGAAAGAAGGGAAAAAAGACAAAACAAAACAAGAAAAAAGAAAGAAAGAAAGAAAAGAAAGAAGGGAAGAAAGAAAAAAAAATTGTGAAGGGATAGAAACGAATGAAAAAAGAAAGAAAAGAAAAAGAGGGATCCTGAAAAAAAAGAAAAAAAAAGAAAGAAAAAAAAAGAAAAATGAAAAAGATCCTGGAAGAAATTTTGGAAAGAAAGAAACAAAAACAAAAGAAAGAAGGAATGAAAAGAAAGAAATGAAGAAAGATCCTGAAAAAAGAAAGAAAGAAAGAAAGAAAGAAAGAAAAAGGGGAAATAAATTGAAAGGGATAAAGCGAATGAAACTAGAAAGAAAGAAATTAGAAAAGAAAGAGCATACTGAAAAAAGACTGGAAACAAAGAAAGAAAAGAAAAAAAAAGAAAGAAAGAAACAAGAAAGATCCTGAACAATTTTGGAATGAGAAAAGAAACAAAGAAACAAAGAAAACAAAGAAAGATAGAAAGAAATGAAGAAAGATCCTGGAAACAATTTTGGAACAAGAAAGAAAGAAAGAAAGAAAGAAAGAAAAGAAAAAGAAAGAAAAGAAGGGGAAATAAATTGAAAAGGATAGAAAAGGAATGATACTAGAAAGAAAGAAATTAAAGAAAAGAAGGGAAAGATACTGAAAAAAGACTGGAAAGAAAAAAAAAAAAAAAAGAAAGAAAAAAAGAAACAAAAAAAGATCCTGGAAACAATTTTGGAAACGAGAAAAAAACAAAAAACAAGGAAAGATAGAAAAAATAAGAAAGATCTGGAAAAATTTTGGAAAAAAGAAAGAAAGAAAAAAGAAAGAAAAAAGAAAGAAAGGGAAAAAAAAGAAATGATAGAAAGAAAGATAAAGAGGAAAGAAAAGAAAGAGGGAAACAAAGAAAAAAAGAAAGAAGGAAAGAAAGAAAGAAAAGGAAACAAAGAAAGAAAAAAAAAAAAGAAAAGACCTCAAAAGAAAGAAAAAAAGAAAGAAAGAAAAAGAAAAGAAATGAAAAGGCTATGAAACAATTTTGGAAAGAAAGAAAGAAAGAAAAGAAAGAAAAAGAAAGAAAGAAAGAAAGAAAGAAAGAAAGACCTTAAAGAAAAGGAAATCTCTGTCCTGGGAAAGAAAGAAAGAAAGAAAAAGGGGAAGAAAAAGAAAAAAAAAAGAAAGAAAGAAAAAATAAATTAGAAAGAGAAAGAAAAGAAAGAAAAAACAAAAGAAAGAAAGAATGAAAAGAAGAAAGAAACTGGAAAAAAGGAAAGAAAGAAAAAAGAAACAAAGAATCAAAGAAAAGAAAGAAAGAAAGAAAGGGGAAATAATTTTGGAACAAGAAAGAAAGGAAAGAAAGAAAGAAAGAAAAGAAAGAAAATAAAAGAAAGAAAGAAAGATCTCTGAACAATTTTAAAAAAAAAGAAAAGAAAGAAAGAAAGAAAGAAAGAAAGAAAAGAAAAAAGAAAGAAAGAAAACAAAGGAAAATAAATTGGAAATAAAAAGGAATGATACTAGAAAGAAAGAAATTAGAAGGAAGGGAAGCATACTGAAAAAAAAACTGAGACTTTGGAAAAGAAAAAAGAAAAAAGAAAGAAAACAAACAAAGAAAGATCCTGGAACAATTTTGGAAAGAAAGAAACAAAGAAACAAAAGAAACAAAGAAAGATAGAAAGAAATGAAGAAAGATCCTGGAACAATTTTGGAACAAGAAAAAGAAAGAAAGAAAGAAAGAAAGAAAGAAAAGGGAAATAAATTGAAAGGAAAGAAAGAAAATGAAAGAAAAAAGAAAGAAATTAAAAAAGGGAAGAAATACTGAAAAAAGAAAGAAAAAAAAGAAAAGAAAAGAAACAAAGAAACAAAAGAAAGAAATGAAGAAACAAAAGGAAAAAGAAAAAAAGAAACAAAAGAAAGAAAGAAAGAAAGAAAGAAAAAAATAAAGAAAGAAAGAAACAATAAAAGAAAGATCCTGAATTTTAAAAGAAAACAAAAGAAAGAAAGAAAGAAAAGAAATAAAAAAAGAAAGAAAGAAAAGAAAGAAAGGAAAAGATGAAAGGATAGAAAGGAATGATTTGGAAAGAAAGAAAAGAAAAAAGGGATATACTAAAAAAAGAAAGAAAGAAAAGAAAAAAAAGAAAGAAAGAATCAAAGAAAACCTGGAAAAAACCTTTGGAAAACGAGAAAAAAGAAAGAAAGAAAGAAAGAAAGAAAGAAAGAAAAAGAAAGAAAGATTTTGGAACAAAAGAAAAAGAAAAGAAAGAAAGAAAGAAAAAAGAAATAAAGAAAGAAAGAAAGAAAGAAAGAAAGAAAGAAAGAAATTAGAAAAGAAATTTCAAAGAAGAGGAAAGAAAGAGGAAAAGAAATAGAAAAGAGGGAAAACAAAAAAAAAAGAAAGAAAGAAAAGAAAGGGGAAAAAAAAAGAAAGATAGAAAAAAAAAGAAAGATCCTAAAACAATTTTGGAAACGAGAAAGAAACAAAGAAACAAAGAAAACAAAGAAAGAAAGAAAAAAAAAGAAAGAAAGATCCTGGAACAATTTTGAACGAAAGAAAGAAAGAAAGAAAGAAAGAAATGAAAGAAAAGAAAAGAAAGAAAAGAAGAAAGAAAAAAGAAAAGAAAGATCCTGGAATTTTTGAACGAGAAAGAAAGAAAGAAAAGAAAAAGAAAGATAGAAGAAAGAAAATTTTGGAAAGAAAGAAAGAAAGAAAGAAAAAGAAAGAAAGAAAGGGGAAATAAATTGAAAGGATAGAAAGCGAATGATACTAGAAAGAAAGAAATTAGAAAAGAGGGAAGCATACTGAAAAAAGACTGGAAACAAAGAAAGAAAGAAAAAAGAAAGAAACAAACAAAGAAAGATCCTGGAACAATTTTGGAACGAGAAAGAAACAAAGAAACAGAGAAACAAAGAAAGATAGAAAGAAATGAAGAAAGATCCTGGAACAATTTTGGAACAAGAAAGAAAGAAAGAAAGAAAGAAAGAAAGAAAGAAAGAAAGAAAAAGAAAGAAAGAAAGAAAGAAAGAAAAAGGAAAGAATCCTGGAAAGAAAAGAAAGAAAGAAAAAAAAGAAAGATACTGAAAAAAGAAAGAAAAGAAAGAAAGAAAGAAAAAAAAGAAAAAAAAAAGAAAAAAAGAAAGAAAAGAATGAAACAAAAAAACAAAGAAATTAGAAAAGAAAAGGAAGAAAGATCCTGAAAAACTTGGAGAAAGGAAAAAAGAAAGAAAAAGGAAAGAAAAAAGTAAAAAAGAAAACAAAAAAGAAAGAAAGAAAGAAAGGGAAAATTTTGGAACGAAGAAAGAAAAAAGAAAGAAAAGAAACAAAAAAAAAGACTGGAAACAAAGTAAAAGAAATGAAAAAGAAAGAAAGGAACAATTTTGGATAATGGAAAAGAAAAAAGAAAAGAAAGAAAAAAAGAAAGAAGAAAGAAATCCTGGAAAATTTTGGAACAAGAAAGAAAAGAAAGAAAGAAAGAAAAGAAAGAAAGAAAGAAAAGGGAAAGAAATTGAAAGGATAGAAAGAAATGAAAAAAAAGAAAGAAATTAGAAAAGAGGAAGTATACTGAAAAAGACTGGAAAGAAAGAAAAGAAAGAAAAAAAAAGAAAAAACAAAGAAAGAAAATCCTGGAACAATTTTGGAACGAGAAAGAAACAAAGAACCAAAGAAACAAAGAAAGATAGAAAGAAATGAAGAAAGATCCTGGAACAATTTTGGAACAAGAAAGAAAGAAAGAAAGAAAGAAAGAAAGAAAGAAAGAAAGAAAGAAAGAAAGAAAGAAAGGGAAATAAATTGAAAGGATAGAAAGCGAATGATACTAGAAAGAAAGAAATTAGAAAAGAGGGAAGCATACTGAAAAAAGACTGGAAACAAGAAAGAAAAGAAAGAAAGAAAAAAGAAAACAAAAAAAGATCTGGAACAATTTTGGAACGAGAAAGAAACAAAGAAAACAAAGAAAGGAAGATAGAAAGAAAATGAAGAAAGATCCTGGAATTTTTTTTGGAACAAGAAAGAAAGAAAGAAAGAAAGAAAGAAAAAAGAAAGAAAGGGGAAATAAATTGAAAGGATGGAAAGCGAAAAGATACTAGAAGAAAGAAAAAGAAAAAAAGAAAGAAAGAAAAAAAAAAGACTGGAAAGAAAGAAAGAAAAAAGAAAGAAAAAAAAGAAAAGAAAAAGACGAACAATTTTGGAACGAGAAAAAAAAAAACAAAGAAACAAAGAAAGAAAAAAGAAATGAAGAAAGATCCTGGAACAATTTTGGAACAAGAAAGAAAAGAAAGAAAGAAAAAAGAAAGAAAGAAAGGGGAAACAGAAAAAGGATAGAAAGGAATGAAACAAAGAAAGAAAGAAAAAGAAAAAGAAAGAAACAAAAAAAAGACTGGAAAACAAAGAAAGAAAAAAAAAAGAAAGAAAGATAGAAAAGAAAGATCCTGAAACAATTTTGAAAAAAAGAAAGAAACAAAGAAAGAAAGAAAGATAAAGAAAATGAAGAAAGATCCTGGAACAATTTTGGAAAAAGGAAAGAAAGAAAAGAAAAGAAAGAAAAGAAAAGAAAGAAAGAAAGAAAGAAAGAAAGAAAGAAAGAAACAAAAAAGGGAAAGATTTGATAGAAAAAAGAAAGAAAGAAAAAAAACTGAAAAAGACTGGAAAGAAAGAAAGAAAAAAAAAGAAAGAAAAAACAAAAGAAAGATCCTGGAACAATTTTGGAACGAGAAACAAAACAAAAAAAAAGAAATAAAAGAAAGATAGAAAAGAAAATGAAAGAAAGATCCTGAAACAATTTTGGAACAAAAAGAAAGAAAGAAAGAAAGAAAGAAAAGAAAAAGAAAGAAAGAAAGAAAATAAATTGAAAAATAAATTGAAAGAAAGAAAGAATGATACTAGAAAGAAAGAAATTAGAAAAGAGGGAAGCATACTGAAAAAAGACTGGAAACAAAGAAAGAAAGAAAAAAGAAACAAAGAAACAAAGAAAGATCCTGGAACAATTTTGGAACGAGAAAGAAACAAAGAAAACAAAAGAAAGATAGAAAAGAAATGAAAGAAAGATCCTGGAACAATTTTGGAACAAAAAAAAAAAAGAAAGAAAGAAAGAAAAAAAGAAAGAAAGAAAAAGGATAAAAAAAAAGAAAGAAAAGAAAGAAAAGAAAGGAGTAAGAAAGGAATGAAAAAAAAAGAAAAGAAATTAAAAAGAAGGGAAGCAAACTGAAAGAAAAAAGACTGGAAAGAAAGAAAGAAAGAAAAAGAAACAAAAAAAACAAGAAAAGAAAAAGATCCTGGAACAATTTTGGAACGAGAAAGAAACAAAGAAAAAGAAAAAAAGAAAAAAGAAAGAAATGAAGAAAGAATCCTGGAACAATTTTGGAAAAGAAAGAAAGAAAGAAAGAAAGAAAGAAAGAAAGAAAAAAAGAAAGAAAAGGGAAATAAATTGAAAAAAGGATAGAAAAGGAATGATACTAGAAAGAAAGAAATAAAGAAAAGAAAGGAAGCATACTGAAAAAAGACTGGAAAGAAAGAAAGAAAGAAAAAAAGAAAGAAAAAAAAAAAGAAAAGATCCTGAACAATTTTGGAACGAAAGAAAGAAACAAAAAAAACAAAGAAAGATAGAAAGAAATGAAGAAAGATCCTGGAACAATTTGGAACAAAAAAAGAAAGAAAAGAAAAGAAAGAAAGAAAAGAAAGAGGAAATAAAAGAAAGAATAGAAAGCGAATGATACTAGAAAAAGAAAGAAAAGAAAAAGAGAAAAACAGGAAAAAATACTGAAAAAAGACTGGAAAGAAAGAAAGAAAAAAAGAAAAAAGAAACAAAGAAAGATCCTGGAATAATTTTTGGAACGAGAAAAAACAAAGAAACAAAGAAAGAAAGAAAGAAATGAAGAAAGATCCTGGAACAATTTGGAACAAGAAAGAAAAAAAAAGAAAAAAAGAAAGAAAAGAAAGAAAGAAAGAAAAAGAAAGAAAAAAAAAAAGGGAAGCCAAAGAAAGGATGAAAGCGAATGATACTAGAAAGAAAGAAATTAGAAAAGAGGAAGCATACTGAAAAAGACTGGAAAACAAAGAAAGAAAGAAAAAAAGAAAGAAACAAAGAAAGATCCTGGAACAATTTGGAACGAGAAAAGAAACAAAGAAAAACAAAAAACAAAAAGATAGAAAGAAATGAAGAAAGATCCTGAAACAATTTTGGAAGAAAGAAAGAAAGAAAGAAAGAAAAGAAAGAAAGAAAGAAAGGAAAATAAAGAAATTGAAAGGATAGAAAGGAATGATACTTAGAAAGAAAGAAATTAGAAAAGAGGAAGCATACTGAAAAAAGACTGGAAACAAAGAAAAAAGAAAAAAAGAAAAAAACAAAGAAAGATCCTGGAACAATTTGGAACGAGAAAGAAAGAAAAGAAACAAAAAGAAAGATAGAAAAGAAATGAAGAAAGATCCTGGAACAATTTTGGAACAAGAAAGAAAGAAAGAAAGAAAGAAAGAAAGAAAGAAAGAAAGGGGAAATAAATTGAAAGGATAGAAAGCGAATGATATAGAAAGAAAGAAAAAGAAAAAGAGGAAGCATACTGAAAAAGACTGGAAAGAAAGAAAAGAAAGGAAAAAAGAAAGAAAGAAACAAAGAAAGATCCTGAACAATTTTGAAACGAGAAAGAAAGAAAGAAAAAAGAAAGAAAGAAAAAAGAAAAGATCCTGGAACAATTTTGGAAAAGAAAGAAAAGAAAAAAGAAAGAAAGAAAGAAAGAAAAAGAAAAAAAAAGGGGAAATAAATTGAAAGGATAGAAAGTGAATGATACTAGAAAGAAAGAAATTAGAAAAGAGAGAAAAAAAATTTTGGAACAAAAAAAAAAAAGAAAGAAAGAAAGAAAGAAACAAAAGAAAGATCCTGGAACAATTTTGGAACGAGAAAAGAAACAAAGAAAAAAACTGGAAGAAAGAAAGAAAAAAAGAAAGAAATGAAGAAAAGATCCTGGAACAATTTTGGAACGAGAAAAACAAAAAGAAAGAAACAAAAGAAAGAAGAAAGAAAAAGAAAGAAAAAAATAAATTGAAAGGAAAGAAAGGAATGATACTAGAAGGAAAGAAATTAGAAAGAAGGGCTATACTGAAAGGAAAAAGACTGGAAACAAAAGAAAGAAAAAAAAAGAAAAGAAAGAAAGAAAGAAAGATCCTGGAACAATTTTGGAATGAGAAAAAACTAAAAGAAACAAAGAAACAAAGAAAGATGAAAAGAAATGAAGAAAGATCCTGAAACAATTTTGGAACAAAAAAGAAAGAAAGAAAAGAAAGAAAGATCCTGGAAAAAAGAAAGAAAGAAAGAAAGAAAGAAAGGGAAATAAATTGAAAGGATAGGAAAGCGAATGATACTAGAAAGAAAGAAATTAGAAAAAGAGGAAACATTGAAAAAGACTGAAACAAAGAAACAAAAAAAAAAAAAAAGAAAGAAAAAGAAAGATCCTGGAACAATTTGGAACGAGAAAGAAAAAAAGAAACAAAGAAAGATATAAAAGAAATGAAGAAAGATCCTGGAACAATTTGGAACAAGAAAGAAAGAAAAAGAAAGAAAAAAAGAAAAGAAAAGAAAGAAAGAAAAGAAAAGGGAAATAAATTGAAAGGATGAAAAAGGAATGATACTAGAAATGAAAAGAAATTAGAAAAGAGGGAAGCATACTGAAAAAAAAAGACTGGAAAAAAGAAAAGAAAGAAAGAGAAAGAAAGAAAAAGAAAAAAAGAAGATCCTGGAAACAATTTTGGACGAGAAAGAAGAAAAGAAACAAAAAGAAAGATAGAAAAAAAATGAAGAAAGATCCTGGAACAATTTTGGAAAAGAAAGAAAGAAAGAAAGAAAGAAAGAAAAGAAAGAAAGAAAGAAAAGGGAAATAAATTGAAAGGATAGAAAGGAATGATACTAGAAAGAAAAGAAATTAGAAAAGAGGGAAGCATACTGAAAAAGACTGGGAAAAAAGAAAAGAAAAAAAAAAAAGAAAGAAAGAAACAAAAGAAAGATCCTGGAACAATTTTGGAACGAAAAAAACAAAAGAAACAAAAAAGAAACAAAGAAAGATAAAAGAAATGAAGAAAGATCCTGGAACAATTTTGGAACGAGAAAGAAAACAAAAAAAACAAAGAAACAAAGAAAGAAAGAAAAATGAAAGAAAGAAAAAAGAAAGAATCCTGGAAAATAAATTGAAAAAAGAAAAAGAATGAACTAGAAAGAAAGAAAGAAAGAAAAGAGGGAAGGAAATTGAAAAAAATTGAAACAAGGAAAGAAAGAAAAAACAAAGAAACAAAGAAAAGATCCTGGAACAATTTTGGAACTGAGAAAGAAACAAAGAAAGAAAGAAAAAAGAAATGAAGAAAGATCCTGGAACAAGAAAGAAAAAAAAAGACTGGAAAGAAAGAAAGAAAGAAAAAAAAAGGGAAATAAAAAAAGGAAAGAAAGGAATGATCCTGGAACAATTTTGAAAAAAGACTGGAAAGAAAGGAAAAAAGAAAGAAAAAAAAAACAAAGAAACACTTTTGGAAAGAAGAAAGAAACAAAAGAAACAAAGAAAAGATAGAAAGAAATGAAGAAAAGATCCTGGAACAATTTTGGAAAACAAGAAAGAAAGAAAGAAAAGAAAGAAAGAAAGAAAGAAAGAAAGAAAGAAAGGGAAATAAATTGAAAGGATAGGAAAGCGAATGATACTAGAAAGAAAAGAAATTAGAAAAGAGGGAAGCATACTGAAAAAAAAGACTGGAAAGAAAAGAAAGAAAGAAAAAAAGAAAAAAAAACAAAAGAAAGATCCTGGAACAAAAGAAAAACAAAGAAAAGAAAGAAAAAAGAAAAACAAAAGAAAGAAACAAAAGAAAAAATGAAGAAAGAAAGAAAGAATGGAAAAATTTTGGAACAAGAAAAGAAAGAAAGAAAAAAGAAAGAAGAAAAGAAAGAAAGAAAAGAAAGGGAAAAAAAATTGAAAGGATGAAAAAAGAATGATACTAGAAAGAAAGAAATTAAAAAAGAAAATATACTGAAAAAAGACTGAAACAAAGAAAGAAAAAAAAAAAAAAAGAAAGAAACAAAAGAAAGATCCTGGAACAATTTTGGAACGAGAAAGAAACAAAGAAACAAAAAAAAAAAAGATAGAAAGAAATGAAGAAAGATCCTGGAACAATTTGGAACAAGAAAAAGAAAGAAAGAAAGAAAGAAAGAAAGAAAGAAAGAAAGGGAAATAAAAAAAAGGATAGAAAGCGAATGATACTAGAAAGAAAGAAATTAGAAAAGAGGGAAAAATACTGAAAAAAAGAAAGAAAAAAAAAAAGAAAAAGAAAGAAAAAGAAAAGATCCTGGAAACAATTTTGGAAACGAGAAAGAAACAAAGAAAAAAAGAAAGAAAGAAAGAAATGAAAAAGATCCTTTTGGAACAAGAAAAAGAAAAAAGAAAGAAAGAAAAAGAAAGAAAGAAAGAAAGGAAATAAATTGAAAGGATAGAAAGAATGATAAGAAAGAAAGAAATTGAAAAGAGGGAAATACTGAAAAAAAGAAAGAAAGAAAGAAAGAAAAAAAGAAAAGAAAGAAAGAAATTTTGGAAAGAAAGAAACAAAGAAAAAAGAAAGATAAAAGAAAAAAAGAAACAATTTTGAAAACAAGGAAATGAAAGAAAGAAATGAAGAAAGAAAGAAAGAAATTAAATTGAAAGGATAAGCGAAATACAGAAAGAAAAAAAAAAAGAGGGGGAACTGAAAAAAGAAAGGAAAGAAAAAAAAAAAAGAAAGAAAAAAAAGAAAAAGATCCTGGAACAATTTTGGAACGAGAAAGAAACAAAAGAAACAAAGAAAGATAGAAAGAAATGAAGAAAGATCCTGGAACAATTTTGGAACAAAAGAAAGAAAGAAAAAAGAAAGAAAGAAAGAAATGAAAAAAAAAAAAAAAAAAAAAGAAAAGGGAAAGAAAAGAAAAAGGATAGAAAGGAATGATACTAGAAAGAAAGAAGATAGAAAGAAAAGAGGAAGATCTTGGAAATACTGAAAAAAGCCTGAAAAAACAAAGAAAGAAAAAAAAAAGAAAGAAACAAAAAAGAAAGATCCTGGGAACAATTTTGGAACGAGAAAAAAGAAAGAAAAAGAAACTGAAAAAAGAAAGATAGAAAGAAATGAAGAAAGATCCTGGAAAAAATTTTGGAACAAGAAAGAAAGAAAGAAAGAAAGAAAGAAAGAAAGAAAGAAAGAAAGAAAGAAAGAAAGAAAGAAAGGGGAAATAAATTGAAAGGATAGAAAGCGAATGATACTAGAAAGAAAGAAATTAGAAAAGAGGGAAGCATACTGAAAAAAGACTGGAAACAAAGAAAGAAAGAAAAAAGAAAGAAAGAAACAAAGAAAGATCCTGGAACAATTTTGGAACGAGAAAGAAACAAAGAAACAAAGAAAGATAGAAAGAAATGAAGAAAGATCCTGGAACAATTTTGGAACAAGAAAGAAAGAAAGAAAGAAAGAAAGAAAGAAAGAAAGAAAGAAAGAAAGGGGAAATAAATTGAAAGGATAGAAAGCGAATGATACTAGAAAGAAAGAAATTAGAAAAGAGGGAAGCATACTGAAAAAAGACTGGAAAGAAAGAAAGAAAGAGAAAGAAAGAAAGAAACAAAGAAAGATCCTGGAACAATTTTGGAACGAGAAAGAAACAAAGAAACAAAGAAAGATAGAAAGAAATGAAGAAAGATCCTGGAACAATTTTGGAAAGAAAGAAAAGAAAGAAAAAAAGAAAAAGAAAGAAAGAAAGAAAGAAAGAAAGAAAGGATGAAAAAATAAATTAGAAAAAGGATAGAAAGGGAATGATACTAAAAGGAAAGAAATTAGAAAAGAGGGAAAAATACTGAAAGAAAAAGACTGAAAGAAACAAAAAGAAAATCCTGGAACAAAGAAAGAAACAAAAAAAAAAAAAAGAAAGAAAAAGAAAGATCCTGGAACAATTTTGGAACAAGAAGAAAGAAACAAAGAAAGAAAAAAAAAGAAAGAAAAGAAACAAAAGAAAGATCCTGGAACAATTTTGGAAAGAGAAAGAAAAACTGAAAAAAAACAAAAAAAAAAAGAAAGAAACAAAGAAAGATCCTGGAAATTTTGAAAGAAAGAAAGATCCTGGAACAAGAAAGAACAAGAAAAGAAAGAAACAAAGAAAAAAGAAAGAAAAGAAAGAAAAAAAGAAAAAAGAAAGGGAAATAAATTTGGAACAAGAAAAAGGAAAAAAGAAAGAAAGAAAGAAAGAAAGAAAGAAAGGGGAAGAAAAAGGAAGAAAGCGAATGATACTGAAGAAAAGAAAGAAACTGGAAAAAAAGAAAAAAAAAGAAAGAAAAAAAGAAAGAAAGAAAAAAAAAAGAAAGATCCTGGAACAATTTTGGACTGAGAAAAAAAACAAAGAAAGATAGAAAGAAATGAAGAAAGATCCTGGAACAATTTTGGAACAAGAAAAAAGAAAGAAAGAAAGAAAGAAAGAAAGAAAGAAAGGGGAAATAAATTGAAAGGATAGAAAGCGAATGATACTAGAAAGAAAGAAATTAGAAAAGAGGGAAGCATACTGAAAAAAGACTGGAAAGAAAGAAAGAAAGAAAAAAGAAAGAAACAAACAAAGAAAGATCCTGGAACAATTTTGGAACGAGAAAGAAACAAAGAAACAAAGAAAGATAGAAAGAAATGAAGAAAGATCCTGGAACAATTTTGGAACAAGAAAGAAAGAAAGAAAGAAAGAAAGAAAGAAAGAAAGAAAGAAAGAAAGAAAGAAAAAGAAAGGGGAAATAAATTGAAAGGATAGAAAGCGAATGATACTAGAAAGAAAGAAATTAGAAAAAGGGAAGCATACTGAAAAGACTGAAACAAAGAAAGAAAGAAAAAAAAAAGAAAAACAAAGAAAGATCCTGGAACAATTTGGAACGAGAAAGAAACAAAGAAACAAAGAAAGATAGAAAGAAATGAAGAAAGATCCTGGAACAATTTTGGAACAAGAAAGAAAGAAAGAAAGAAAGAAAGAAAGAAAGAAAGAAAGGGGAAATAAATTGAAAGGATAGAAAGCGAATGATACTAGAGGAAAGAAATTAGAAAAGAGGGAAGCATACTGAAAAAAGACTGGAAACAAAGAAAGAAAGAAAAAAGAAAGAAAGAAACAAAGAAAGATCCTGGAACAATTTTGGAACGAGAAAGAAACAAAGAAACAAAGAAACAAAGAAAGATAGAAAGAAATGAAGAAAGATCCTGGAACAATTTTGGAACAAGAAAGAAAGAAAGAAAGAAAGAAAGAAAAGAAAGAAAAAAGAAAGGGGAAATAAATTGAAATGATAGAAAGCGAATGATACTAGAAAGAAAGAAATTAGAAAGAGGAAGCATACTGAAAAAAAGACTGAAACAAAGAAAGAAAAAAAAAAACAAAAGAAACAAAGAAAGATCCTGGAACAATTTTGGAACGAGAAAGAAACAAAAAGAAACAAAGAAACAAAAGAAAGATAGAAAGAAACAAGAAAGATCCTGGAACAATTTTGGAACAAGAAAGAAAGAAAGAAAGAAAGAAAGAAAGAAAAAAGAAAGAAAGGGGAAATAAATTGAAAGGATAGAAAGCGAATGATACTAGAAAGAAAGAAATTAGAAAAGAGGGAAGCATACTGAAAAAAAAAAAAGACTGAAACAAAAGAAAGAAAAAAGAAAGAAAGAAACAAAGAAAGATCCTGGAACAATTTTGGAACGAGAAAGAAACAAAGAAACAAAGAAAGATAGAAAGAAATGAAGAAAGATCCTGGAACAATTTTGGAACAAGAAAGAAAAAGAAAAGAAAGAAAGAAAGAAAAGAAAAAAAAGAAAAAGAAAGAAAGAAAGAAAGAAAGAAAGAAAAGATCCTGGAACAATTTTGGAACGAGAAAGCAAGAAAGAAAGAAAGGGGAAATAAAATGAAAAGAAAGAAAGCGAAAAGAGACTATACCTTTTCAACTTCAAAATGGATTAATCAACTTCAAATTGAGAAATTGAAATGAAAAAAGCGAAAAGAGACTAGAAAGGAAGAAATTAGAAAAAAGGTAAAGCATACGGAAAAACGACTAGAAAGAAAGTAAGAAAGAAAGAAAGAAAGAAAGATCCTGGAACAATTTTGGAACGAGAAAGAAAGAAAGAAAGAAAGAAAGAAAGAAAGAAAGAAAGAAAGAAACTGGAAATAAATTGAAAAGAAAGAAAGCGAAAAGAGACTATACCTTTTCAACTTCAAAATGATAATGATCAACTTCAAAATGGACTTATTTTCAAGTAAAAAAAATTAATCAACTCCAACATGGATTAATCAACTTCAAATTGGATCAATCAACTTCAAAATGGATCTATCAACTTCAAAATGGATTAATCAACTTCAAATGGAGAAAATGTCAAAAACCTAAAAACAATCAACTTCAAAATAAGAATAAACAATTTCAAATTGGAATAAACAACTTCGAATTGAGATATTTTTGGGGGTAAATTAAAAATTATTTTTTCAATTAATTTACCCCATGAGTAAGGAAATTGACTGTTCGTCTTCATTATATAGATGAAGAAAAAACCAAAATACAAACAACTTAGAGGCCAAGAAAGCATTGGGTGAGCCTACAGTAAAAGTAGGAGAAAGTCCCGTATGGGCAGAAATGATGATTGATGATGATGCTGGAGAAACCTCTACAAAAGAAGCTGAAGAAAAATTAGCAACAGCTCCAAAGAGGACTTACCTCAAGAAAACTGTGGCTGGCGAAAAAAAAGGGCCCAGATTTTAGCTACACATGCCGCAGCAGGAAATTGGAAAGACCTGGCAAGAACAATTGGTGTGCCTCTTCAAACAGCGTACCGTTGGTTAGACCAGGGTGCTGATAAGAGTGACTCTAGGGGAAGGAGCAAGAAAATATAAAATTACACAAGAGCATAAGAATTTTATGGCCGAATTAATTGAAAACTCTCCTAGGGTCACTATTCAAGACATTGTAAATAAATTTGTCGAAAAGTATCAGGTTCGTGTGACGAAAGAATGCATAAGAAAGCACTTGGACTCCATGGCCTTTACTTTAAAAGCGGTTCATTATGAACCAGAAGCTTCCAATAATAATGTCAATAAGGTGAAACGTAAGGATTACGCAGTAGCTTTATTAGATTTTCTGTCCCAAAGTTTTCCAATTCTTTATATGGATGAAACCAATTTTAATCTCCATATTTCAAGAAGAGAAGGTCGCTCTAAAAAAGGCACGAGGTGCACTACAGTCGCTGCCGGATCCAAGGGAAATAGCATCCATGTTATTGGATGTATTAGTAATAATGGATTAATTCATCATAAAATTAAAAGAGGTTCTTTCAAAAAAGATAATGCGAAATAATGGTGCAGGGAGTGCCTTAGAAAGGCAAATGAAATTTATGAAAGGGGAGTTGTCTTAGTTATCGATAACGCTCCTTGCCATACTTCAATTGAAGAAGTTGTGGAGGAGGAGGAATTTAGGCGACACCAAATTTTCAGATTTGCCCCCATGGTCCGATCTTATCAGGGATCTTTAACTACTAAAGAATTCCGCCTCAGCAAGTTAGAAGCGATGATTTCCGAGGCAATTAATAATATTTCCCTTGAGACTTGCACTAATTTCGTATCTGGAATACAGAGATTACTTCCCTCTGTAATTAACTTAGATGATGTAACCTTTTAGATAAATTTAGGAACGTTTATATTTTTTATATCCCTTTTAAGTAAAAATAAAAGAATAAATATTAAATTTATTAGTATTATACTAATTCTCAATTTGAAGTTGATTAATCTAATTTGAAGTTGATTATTTCTCATTTTGAAGTTGTTTTCCAATTTGAAGTTGATTAATCCATTTTGAAGTTGATTGATCCATTTTGGAGTTGATTATTATCATTTTGAAGTTGAAAAGGTATAGAAAGGAAGAAATTAGAAAAAAAGGGAAGTATACGGGAAAAAAACAAGAAAGAAAGAAAGAAAGAAAGAAAGATTCTGGAAAAATACTGGAACGAAAAAAGAAAGGAAGCAAGAAAGAAAGACAGACAGACTGATGTGAATAAAACGTGACGGATGGGTAGAAATTTCATTAGAAAAATATCCGCTGGTGTCAGCAACTTTCTGGATAATCGTTCTCAATTGAGATTATTCACATTTGTTAAAATCTATCGTGTTTCTGTTTTAACGACATAGTATATTTATCCCATGTCTCATCATCTTTATTCAGCATCGGGGGCTTGGCTCTGAATGCAGAGTTATCCTTGTCCTAGACTGGTCGCTACTCATGGCTAGAGAAGCTTGTTTGACTTGATATTAAACCCATCGAGTGCGGGGTAAAGATATTTTTGAGAAAATGAATATAACTAACTCTCCCGGAATTCAAACACGCCTCTCCAATTTCCCGTTTCGGGTCGCTAACCATTACACCATTGCACGTCCAGTAGTCAATTATTGAGAAACTAAAAGTTAAACAGCAAAAAGCTTCATCATTGCTTACAACCCGTGCGATGATTTTTCTGCCATTATGAGTTTCATGTATCGACAAACACGATATTTGCTAATGTGAATGTCAATATTTTACCACAGTGTTTTCCCTTCCTTGATAAATTACGATCAGACGTGCGTTTTAGCAACAAGTTTTATTTTCAGACTATGAATTTCGATACTTTTTCATAATCACAGTGTCATTAAGCAGATTTAGCAAACTTTTCGGAAAATATGCCAGATTATTATTATTATTATTATTATTATTATTATTACTTATACTAATACTACTAATCCCTTAGATTTCTGCCGTATACACATTTCCTTCTGGGTCCTGTTCAGAGACCTAAGGTCAGAAATGGAATCATAACATTTTCTCGACAAGGTCAGAAATGGAATCATAACATTGTCCCGACAACTCTCTTATATCCGGGTTACACTATATTATTATCACATCATCATCATCATCATTATTATTATTATTATTATTATTATTATTATTATTTTATTTCCTTTGATTTCTGGTGTGTACTCATTTCTTTCGGAGACCCACCCAGAAACCTAAGGTCAGAAATGCCATCATGACATTTTCCACTGGGAAAAAAAAATATTTCTCATAGATAAAGCTCTTCGTAAGGTGTGGGCTGTACTCGTGAGAACAATTTTTTATGTTTCTTTCAGGGATGGGCTTTCAGGAACCCTTCAATTAGTCTACTGGAATCTTTTCCAACCAATCCGAGGGATCCAACTACAACGGGGATTGTTAATGTTCACATGTGCCACATTTTTAAGATATTATTATTAATATTATTATTATTCCTTTGATTTCTTGTGTGGATACATTTCTTCCCTGGTCCCGCCCAGAGACGTAAGGTTAGAAATGGCATCATAACACTTTCCACGGACAAAAAAGAAAGCATATCTTACATGGCTAAAGCCCCTCGTAAGGTGTGGGCTGTACTCGTGAGAACAATTTTTTGTATTTCTTTAAGGCATGGGCTTCCAGGAATCCCTTCAATTAGTCTACTGAAAGTTTTTCCAACCAATCAAGGGCCCCAAATAGAACAGGAATTGTTGATGTTCCCATTTTTTTATTATTATTATTATTATTGTTTATAGCAGCCCTCCAAAAAAGTGATGCTGTGATACAAATATACAAAGGCCAGACGCCAAGTCATATACAGCACAGCCAAATGTGCGAAAGGGGTACAAGTTTTGATAAAAGCAACGCATACCCTTGTAGGTAGGGCCCAGTTAGAAATAAGTTCATGTTGGATAACTCAGTCCGCTCAGATGGTTTTCGATTGAGGTTGTTTGCAAATGTGTCTCTCTCGAGTCGCCTTGGTTGACTCTTCCTTTAAATAAAAAATACAAAACCTGGCCATGATTTTTCTAACTACGCCCGCTCATGAATAGATATGCACATATTTCTTTAACATCTTTTCTTTCTTTCTTTTATTTTAATGCATGTTAAATAATATCTTCCATTATAAATAAGCATAAACTCTTGTACACTTCTTTGAGTGGAAATGGCAAATGTAGAGATTCGAATAGAATGATGAGGTAATTTATTCTGGTAAGCAGACTAGACACTGGAAGAAGCTAATTAAATACCAAAATTTAGAGGTTTTTCCCCCTCTCCAGCTGGGAGTGAGCCAACCAATTGAATACAAGATTATTAACAAGCAAGTTCCCTCATACAATTAAAGTTATATTGAATCAATTGCTATGTTTTTCTGTTAAAAAAGCCTGTTCACTGTCTCATGTTGGACATTTTTTTTTCACGCCCGAATCTATTTGTGTTGACTATTAGTACCACATCTGGTCTGGGGATTCGGCTATGCATCTAGAAATTCTTGACAAATTCCAAAGAAATATCTGCAATATTATTGTTCCTGACCTGGCATCTCGGCTCCAATTACTTTCTCGCCGCTTTAACGTAATTTCCCTGAGTCATTTCTACAACTATTTTCATCGCGATTGTTTTGATGACTCTCCACTTTGGTATGTCGACATCATAAATTTAAGTGCAGTGCTAGATTGTCAGCTAGGTCTCACCATTTTATTGTTGAAATTACTAAAAGTAACCGTAAATTCTATTCTAATAATTTCTCCATTCGCACTTCTCGGCTGTGGAACTCTCTTCCAGCTTCTTCGTTTCCTGTCAACTAATAATCTTCAAAATTTGAAATGCTGTATCAATCGCCATTTGCTTTATCCTTGAATCCTATTTTGCATTTTCTTAGTTTTCTTCAAAATTTGTTAATCACTTGAAACGGGTGGGCAAATATTTCTCGGGGTGTCACATGCATTATTTGGCGGGTTCCTCGCGGGTTGCATGTATCAAAAAATGCTTAAGTAATGAATAATGGTTAAAATATACAAAAACATATATATGTATATATATATAATCGAAACTGTATCCTACATGGGACCGTTATATAGCCTGACATGCTATACAATTTAGCTACAGAGGAAGCGTCTGGTTAGCAAGGATGAATTACTGTTTTTAAACTACAAACTTCCCATGATTGCTCTCGAACGCCATATGATGGTTCTGTGTAGGATACAAGTTCGATTCCTGTCAGAGGACACATATTTTCTTTGAAATTTCTCTGACATTCAGGCCAGTGAATGTCGTTAATACTGTTTATTATAAACAGGGCATTAGCTTAAATATTTATATCTATAAAAATAACGGATAAACAATAAATATGTTAAAATAATTATCGGACT